TTAGAACAATCACTTTTCTTATTTAAAGTTTTAACAAACTGCTTTCTTAAATGCAAGTTTGATATGCAAAGGTGGAAGGAGAATTCTTTCACGTGATACGAGAGGTTTAGCAATAATGTTTTTTTCTCTCTCTCTCCCACATTCAATGCAATCCTCAAAGGCCAGACAGTCTTTCCCCAATGTTGAGATTTAGCACGACTGTCCCAGAGGCAAAGATAGCAAGGGTATTTTATGTACCCGTGTTGTTGTTCTAGAATACTAACCATTTTTAAATCACAATAGAGAACCCAATAATGTTCATGATATTTGTTTCATAGCATCATAGTGTTTCTCTGTTGAATAAAAGCATATCTATCGATATGTAGTAGCATCCCAATCTCCGTTTTGAGCTGTCGATGAACAGTTGCCAATTGTCAGGAATAGGCTAATAGGCCTGAAACTTCGTGGCAAAAAGGACGAGGTTATTTTACTTGTCGAAGAAACGTACACAATCATCATCTCTCCTGCGATAAAAAGAAATGTTTGGTCCTCTTTGCAACATTTTCTTTTCTTTTAGTCTTGAGGCTAGAAGTTCTGAAGATTCTTTGCAGAGGTACAGATCTCTTATCAGATCGTTCAGTTATGCCTGAGAGAACCCAGCGGCGTTTGATTCTGAACAAAACTCATAATCGTTGCTCAAGTCCTCACCATCGCTTCGACTTTGTTGTTCAGTGATGTCTACATTCATATCTTTGGGGGCATTAATAGGCAAATATTGGGGATTCAGTGGTTTGGATAAACTTCGATGTCTTCCAAATCAGGCAACGAAGTGGTACTGACCGACGAGCAGAAGAAAGATTAGGGTATTCACTGAACTTAGTGAGACAAAATCATCCACTTGGTTCTGTACCTCTCGCTACACCGTAGGGATCCTAAATTTCAGCGAATCTCTTCTTGCTTTTGTCCAGTGGTGAAGATAATTGCAAATTATTATTATTATTATTGTTATTACTATTACTGTTATTATTATTATTACTGTAATTATTACTATTATTACTACCATTATTATTACTATTATTGTTATTATCATTATTATTATTATTATTATTAGCATTATTTTCATTATTGTTAATATTATTATTATTATTATTATTACTATTGTTATTACCATTATTGTTATTATTACTATCATTTAAATAACATAATGATGATATAATAATTATTATTATTATTATTATTATTTTACTTCTTTTTTCTTATCGTCATTATTCATGATCATCATTATCATCATCATTATTATTATTATCCTTATTATTATCATTATTATCAGTAATTATTTTTGTTATTATTATCATTATCATCATTACTATTATTATCATTATTGTTAATATTACTATTATTATTATCAGTAGTAGTAGCAGTATAGTATTAGTATTAGTATTGTTATCATATCATCATCATCGTCATTATTTATTATTAATATTTTTGTTATATTTATTATTATTATTATTATTATTATTATTATTATTATTGTTATTATTATCATTATTATTATTAGTAGTAGTAGTATTAATATTATTATTATTAGTAGTAGTAGTAGTAGTAGTATTGTTATTATTATTATTATTATTATTATTATTATTATTATGATGATGATTATATTATTATATTATTAATCATTGTTATTATCATTATTATTATTATTATTATTATTATTATTATTATTATTATTATTATTATTATTATTATTATTATTATAAATCATCATCATCCATCATCCTTTTATTATTATTATCATTATCATCATCATCGTATTAATTATTATTATCATTATTATTCATTATTATATGTTATTATTATTATTATTGTTGTTTTATTTTTTATTATTAATTATTATTATTATTATTATTATTATTATTATTATTATTATTATTATTATTTATTATTATTATTATTATTATTATTATATTATTATTATTATTATTATATTATTTATTATTATCATTATTATATTATTATTCATTATTATTATTATTATTATTATCATTTTTGTTATTACTTTAATCATTTTTTGCTATTAATGTTATTATTATTATTAATATTATGATCATAACTGATATTATCATTATTATTATTGTTATTATTATTGTTGTTATTTCCATTGCTATCATCATTGCTATTATTATTATTATTATATTATTATTATTATTATTATTATTATTATTATTATTAATATCATTATTATTGCTATCATTATTATTATTATCATTATTACCATTATTGTTATTGTTGTTGCTGTTGATATTATCACTATTATCATTATAATGTTTTATTATAGTGATAGTGATGATAATACTAGTACTAATGATAATGATGATAATACTACTACTAATAATGATATGGTAATGATAATTATGATTATGATAATGATAATTATGATTATGATAATGATTATGATGATCATAATAATAATGATGATAATAATAGTTATAGTAATAATGGTAATGATGATAATTGTAATAGTAATATTAATGATAATAATTACAATTATCATTATTAACATTGTTATTATTATCTTTATCATTATTATTCTCATTATTATTATCATCATTATCTTTTTTTATTATTATTATTAATTCTCATTATCATCTTTATTATTATTATGATTATTTATTTTCTTTATTATTGTTATTACTATTGTTAACATTGTTATTAGTATCATTATTATCATTACCATTATCATCATAATTATTATCTTATCATTGTTGATATTACTATTATCATTATTGTTATAGGTATTATGATTATATTGTTATTATATATATATATATATATATATATATATATATATATAATATTATATATATATATATAATGATTTTATTATTATTGATACTATCATCATCATTATTATTATAATTATCATTATTATCACTATCATTATTCCTGTTATTATGATCCTTATTATACCATTATTATTATTATTATTATTATTATTATTATTATTATTATTATTATTGTTGTTGTGTTGTTGTTGTGTTGTTGTTATTACAATTATTACTGTTATAATGATCCCTATTATTATCATTATCATCCTCATTATCATTATTAATATTATTATTATCATTATTATCATCATTGCCTTTATTACCATCATTGTTGTTATTAGTGATACTATTATCATCATTGTTATTATTATTAGTAGTAGTAGTATTGTTGCTATTATTATTATTATTATTGTTAGCATTATTATTCTATCTATAGTTGTGATTATTATTATTATTGTTATTATTATATTATTATTATTATTATTATTATTATATTATTATTGTTGTTGCTATCATTATTATTATTTGTTACCATTGTTATTGAGATTGTTTTTATTGTTATTATTATTATCATTATCATTATTGTTATTATTGTTGTTTTTCTTATTATCATTATTACTATTGTTATTATTATTTTATTATTATTTATTATTATCATTATTATCATTATCATTACATTATTATTATTATTATTATTATTATCATTATCATTGTTATTTTATCATTATCATTGTTATTATTATATTATTATTATTTATATTATTATTATTATTTATTATTATTATTATTATTATTATTATTATTATTATTATTATTATTATTATTATTATTATTATCATTGTTTTGTTGTTGTTATTATCATTATTATTATTATTATTATTATTATTATTATTATTATTATTTATTATTATCATCGTATCGTTCACCATTATTATCATTATTGTTATATATCATTATTATTATTATTATATTATTGATTGATGTTTTATTATCATTATCATTATTATCATTATAATTATTTTTTATTATTAATATCATTAATATTACTTATTACGCTTATCATCATTATTGTTAATAATATCATTATCATTGTCATTATTATCATTATTATCATTCATTATTATCATTATTATTAATATTATCATTATCATATTATTATTAATTATTATTGTTATCATTATTATTATTTCTATTATTATCATTAACATTATCTTTATTATTGTAATTATTATTGTTATTATTGTTATTATCATTTTTGTTATTGTCGTTTTTTTCATTAGTTATTGTTACTGATGATAATAATGCTATCATTAATATTTTTATTGTTCTTTAAATCATTTTTGCTGTTAACATTATTAATTTGATGACCAGCATCGTCATCATCATCATTAGTATTATGATTATCATTATTATTATCATTGACAATAATGTTAGTATTAATAATTATTATCAGTTTTTATTTTTATTATTCTCATCTTTCTTAGTATCAATATTATTGTTATTATCATTACTAAAAACATCATCATCAGTAGTAGCAGCAGTAGTAGTACCACTACTGATAACACTATAATGGTTATTACTGACATTATTTTTTTCTCACTCATATTCTTGACAATAATGTTCTTTTTATCGTTATTATCAGCCTTATTACCACCAACATCATCAGCGTCTTAATTATTACCATCAACACCATTATTACTCGTGGCAGTATTAACATGGTTATAGTATTGGTTTCAGGCAAACAGGCATCCCCGTCGGTCTCATTCCTCTGAGCCGCGGGATCTGCCTCCAGCTAGGGACCCAAGGCTTGTTTACCCCTTGACGGAAATCGACCCCTAATTTCACGTATCATTTAGTCATCCTAACGGTGTTTTTTCCTTTAGCCGCGGGGCTCTTGGGTCAACGATTATTATTAAGGGGTTCGTCTTCGCCCTCAATTTTCTGCGTTGGGGATATTTACGTGTAGGTAAATAGTTACGATATATTCTTTTTAATGTTGGGGCTTACATCATTTCCAGACTATTAGTTCATTCTCTAACGCTTTGAAGAACGTTACTTTTACCTGTATAATGCCCACATCCTCTTTACCCGGAAGAAAAGTATATACTCATCGAAACTTCGCAGAAATGGTTCCCTTTCGAATAGACGCGCATGCTGGCGAACTCCGGCAACTTCTCCCTTGCGTTCTTATATATAGCCTGATCAGCCGCAAGAAGTCACTCTTATTTAAGACACGTGGAAAACGTTGTGCATAACCTACATAACCTACAGCTCCTCCTGTCACAAGCCCTGCAATGTGAGTAAACGCAAAAGCTTGTTTTCGTTTTGAAGTGCGTTATCTTAGCTCTGATTTATCTTAGATATTGTTGATATTCATATACTCTGTCATGAATTAGAAGTGATGTAACGATGCGAGCTCAGCGCAGCATTCGCTCTCTAATGCATGCATTTAGGGGCGAGAAAGCGTGTAGCTTGTTTTGAGTTCTTTCCCTCTCTCTGGATTTCTGGTGGCCCATTATATTTGTTGCATGGATTATGCATGTTATTTTCATTTTGTCCTCAGTGTTCTGTTTTCATAAACAGACGTGACATTGATATCAGATGTAATGAAGAAAACGTCATGGAATACAGTCTACCATAATTTAGGCTTCTGGATAACTATCTCTGTAGTGTTCAAGTCACTATCGCTTTGATAATTACATTTCTATGGCATTCGCTCACTATCATTTACAGTACAGATAACCGATATTTTTTAAAATATAATTCTTTCTTACACTGCCTGGGAGTCTTTCAAACAAATCCTAAATCATCTCTAGTTACTCTTTAAATATTTAGCAATTCCATTCCTATGTACATTACATCCATTCTTCACCTTTTGTTTACAAAAGGTCTACTATAATGGAATCTATAGTTGTGTATGTTTTATATACCAGTTATTTATTTATTTATTGTATATTGAAATGCTCATGTCACATTGGTTCATTAAGTATTGGCTATGAACTGTAGAAATTGGCTGTCTTTCCCTTCGCTTCTAATATAACATGATATAAAACACACACTAATAGAATACAGTAAGACGAAATGCAAATCCTCAGCATTATCTTCTACCTAGACTATTTCATTTCCCTTTCTAAAGAACCGCCCTCCCCTTGCCCTTCTCTCCTTCCAGGAACAGTCTTCTCCCTTCTAATACTTTCCCCCTTGCGTCGACATGTAATTTGTAATTTGCGAATTTGACATCTGATATCGAACACCAGCAATAGTTTATAGAAGTCGTTGTTAATGATGAATTAATAATTTCACTATGGAGATCTCTGTCTGAATGCTCTTGGAACCGAACCGTTTTATCACCATCTCCCTTCTCCCAAAAATCTTGGTTTTGCGTCTTCCACCACTTACTTTTCTTATTCAACTTTTCTTATCATTCTCTGCTTCATGTACCTTCCCCTCCCAGGTTTTTTAACTCATTTTTTAATCTCCCCCTCTCCTTTTGCTTTCTCTAATATCTCCTCTACTTTCTCCACTTCTATTCCTGTTCTTCTTCCCACTCGTCCTATTCCTATTCGCGGTCGTTCTCTTTATCATCTTTCCTTTCCACTTATTCCTAATCCTACTACTATTACAATCACTACTATTCATTGCTTTCTTCCTCACTGTCCTCCCCCTCCTCCTCTTCTTCTTCTTCCACCTCCTCCTCATCCACCCCCACCACTTCATCCTCCTCCTTCTCCTCTTCCTTCCCCTCCTCCTCCCCCATCTCATCCTTCTCATCCTCACCCTCCTTCCCCTTCTCCATTTCTTTCTCTTTTTCCTTTCTTCCCCCTGCCTCCTCTTGCGTGACTGTCACAGTTCAGCGATACTGTAGTCAGGATCGGTTCCTGACAAGAAGGCGGGAGAGGCAACGAGTGTATGTTGAGGGTCACTATGCGTGAAGCTTGATAAACTCGTCTGCCCACTTTCACTGGTTTGTGTTTTGTACGTGTAAGAATCTGTGGCGGGGCATGTTAGACTGTGCGTGATGTGATTATGTAATACTGGCTGCATGTGTTTGTTTGTCTGCGCTCGTCTCTCTCAGAATCGAAAATGAAGCATTGTTTTAACTTGTGTATTGTTATCTAATCTTCCGTCGCAGTGAAAGCTTGGAAACTGCAAGAATACTATACCCACGAAGGCTCTCATCATCATTTGTCTCAGCCGAGCGTCAGGGAAGGAAAGTTTTGTGACCGCTAATCGAGGTCTTGCCAAACACCCCGGCAGCTTTTAGGAGAGAGTCGATTACTGGCATCGCTGATTAGTGAGGGCCACGAAGCTAAGATAGATAGAGAGAAGAGAAGAGAGAGAGAGAGAGAGAGAGAGAGAGAGAGAGAGAGAGAGAGAGAGAGAGAGAGAGAGAGAGAGAGAGAGAGACAGAGACAGAGACAGACAGACAGACAGACAGAGTCTGAGTCAGAGAGAGTCAGAGTTGGAGAGAATGAGAGAGAGAGACAGAGACAGAGAGAAAGAGAATGAGAAACAGGGGATATATATATGTGTTTGTGTACATATGTATGCCTATATATACATATATATATATATATATATATAATATATATATATATATATATGTATGTATATATATATATATATATATTATATATATATATATGTGTGTGGTGTGTGTGTGTGTGTGTGTGTGTGTGTGTGTGTGTGTGTGTGTATGTATGTATATATATATATATATATATATATATATATATATATATATATATATATATATAGAGAGAGAGAGAGAGAGAGAGAGAGAGAGAGAGAGAGAGAGAGAGGAGAGAGAGAGAGAGAGAGAGAGGAGAGAGAGAGAAAAAGAGAAAGAGAGCCCCTAGATTTCAGTTTCACGTCTGAGAAGCAGCATTGCCTAAGGGCACACGTCGCCGCTGGATACACACAGGCAGA